ACATGTGAACGTGATGGGAATGATCATGACCGGAAAATGTCAATTTTACAACTCATGCACTTCCCACCTACGAGCTACTGGAAATCAATTTAAAACACATTTATTCCCCACTGCTCTGCAATTCCCCCTGGTCACACGGACTGCCATTACCACCAGGAACGGTAATTAACTTCCTCAGGTTTAAAAGACTTTAATAGCAATAACTTGGCAAAGGCTGAGGCCTGTCTGGTTCTCTGAGATATACAGTGCCTTCAGAAAGTATTCATTCTTATGGACTTATTCCACATTGTGTTGTTACAGCCTGAATTCAAAATATATATATTTTTTCTCACCAATCTAGACCACAATACCCCATAATGACAAAGTGAAAACATGTTTTAGGAATTGTTGCAAATTTACTGAAAATTAAATACAGAAATATCTAATTCACATAAGTATTCACACCCCTGAGTAAATACATGTTAGAATCACCTTTGGCAGCGATTACAGCTGTGAGTCTTTCTGGGTAAGTCTCTAAGAGCTTTCCACACCTGAATTGTACAACATTTGTCCATTATTCTTTTCTAAATTCTTCAAGCTCTGTCAAATGAGTCATTGATCATTGCTAGACAACCATTTTCAAGTCTTGCCATAGATTATCAAGCAGATTTAAGTCAAAACTTTAACTTGGCCACTCAGGAACATTAACTGTCTTCTTGGTAAGCAACTCCAGTGTAGATCTGGCCTTGTGTTTTAGGTTATTGTCCAGCTGAAAGGTGAATTGATCTCCCAGCGTCTGGTGTAAAGCAGACTGAACCAGGTTATCCTCTAGTCTCCCAGTGTCTGGTGGAAAGCAGACTGAACCAGGTTTTCCTCTAGTCTCCCAGTGTCTGGTGGAAAGCAGACTCAACCAGTTTTTCCTCTAGGAGTTTGCCTGCGCTTAGCTCCATTTTTATCCTGAAAAACTCCCTAGTCCTTAACGATAACAGAGCATACCCATAACATGATGCAGCCACCACTATGTTTGAAAATATGGAGAGTGGTACTCAGCAATGTGTTGTATTGGATTTGCCCCAAACATAACCCTTTTTTTTGTATTCAGGAAAAAAAGTTAATTGCTTTGCCTCATTTCTTGCAGTATTACTTTAGAACCTTGTTGCAAACAGGATGCAGGTTTTGGAATATGTTTATTCTGTACATGCTTCCTTCTTTTCACTCTGTCAATTAGATTATCATTGTGCAGTAACTACAATGTTGATCAATGCTCAGTTTTCTCCTATCACAGCCATTCAACTCTGTCACTGTTTTAACGCGCTAGAGTCTATTTCCGCAACCTGTGGAAATCAAATTAGCGTTAAAAAAGAATCCCCATAAAAATCTGTCAGTTTAAGCTAGCGATATCTGTTTTTTTGCATCTCAATTCACCACATATGAAAGGTAGCAGAGCTAGAGCTGTCTGGTAGACCATAAGCAGTGTCTGGTAGACCATGAGCAGTGTCTGGTAGACCATGAGCAGTGTCTGGTAGACCATGAGCAGTGTCTGGTAGACCATGAGCAGTGTCTGGTAGACCATGAGCAGTGTCTGGTAGACCATGAGCAGTGTCTGGTAGACCATGAGCAGTGTCTGGTAGACCATGAGCAGTGTCTGGTAGACCATGAGCAGTGTCTGTTAGACCATGAGCAGTGTCTGGTAGACCATGAGCAGTGTCTGGTAGACCATGAGCAGTGTCTGGTAGACCATGAGCAGTGTCTGGTAGACCATGAGCAGTGTCTGGTAGACCATGAGCAGTGTCTGGTAGACCATGAGCAGTGTCTGGTAGACCATGAGCAGTGTCTGGTAGACCATGAGCAGTGTCTGTTAGACCATGAGCAGTGTCTGGTAGACCATGAGCAGTGTCTGGTAGACCATGAGCAGTGTCTGGTAGACCATGAGCAGTATCTGGTAGACCATGAGCAGTGTCTGGTAGACCATGAGCAGTGTCTGGTAGACCATGAGCAGTGTCTGGTAGACCATGAGCAGTGTCTGGTAGACCATGAGCAGTGTCTGGTAGACCATGAGCAGTGTCTGGTAGACCATGAGCAGTGTCTGGTAGACCATGAGCAGTGTCTGGTAGACCATGAGCAGTGTCTGGAAGACCATGAGCAGTGTCTGGTAGACCATGAGCAGTGTCTGGAAGACCATGAGCAGTGTCTGGTAGACCATGAGCAGTGTCTGGTAGACCATGAGCAGTGTCTGGTAGACCATGAGCAGTGTCTGGTAGACCATGAGCAGTGTCTGGTAGACCATGAGCAGTGTCTGGTAGACCATGAGCAGTGTCTGGTAGACCTTCTCACTATATCGTCTGCAGCGTCCGAACGGTTTGGCCTCTCACGAACACGATGGCATTCTCCATATTGCTCTACACCCCCACAAGCGTCTTGGGACTTGTCTGAAGTCGTTTCAGCCGATGTAACAACTTGTGTCTGTAGTGTCTGAACAGTTTGGGCTACACACTAACATGACCCCTCTGTGGAAAGGTGAGACTCTCATGAACACGTGTCGGTTGTTTTGCTCTAGGCCACCCACAAGCCTTATTCTACAATGTAGAAAATAGTAAAATTAAAGAAAAACCCTGGAATGAGTAGGTGTGTCCAAACTTTTTAATGGTACTGTATATATTTTGTTATACTTCAAGGGATCTTACAATTCTAAATCACATAGCTAAATGATCCTTGGTATGACTTTCCTAAAACAATTCCATAAAGCTTAGTATAATTTCTAAAAAAATAATTCCACTTTAACATTGTGGGGTATTGTGTGGAGGGCAGTGATAAAGAAAATCCATAGCGTAGTCTATTGATTTGAGAGTGGTTTCTCCAGTCCCATCCCTCAGCTTTCTACCAAAACTTTGTTAATGTTTCAATTAACGATTGCCACTTTAAACACCTTTAATAGAGATTATATGGCGCAATCCTCTAGTGAGTGAGTTAGTTTTGTGCCATTAATATGAAGCAAAACTTCTCAAGTCGAGAACAAAATCAATTCACATTTTATTTATCACACGTGCCGAAAACAACTGGTATAGACTTTAGAGTGAAATGCTTGCTTACGAACCTTTCTCAATGATGCAGAGTTTACAAATAATAATACAAAATGCAATCGAATCTAACACAAGAGGAATAAAATATAATACACAAGAATGGAGCTATATAAAGGAGGTACCAGTACCAGATCAATGTGCAGAGGCACGAGGCATTTGAGGTAGATGTTATACATTACTGTATGGACAGTGGGGGAAAAAAGTATTTAGTTAGCCACCAATTGTGCAAGTTCTCCCACTTAAAAAGATGAGAGAGGCCTGTAATTTTCATCATAGGTACACGTCAACTATGACAGACAAAATGAGATTTTTTTTCCAGAAAATCACATTGTAGGTTTATTAATGAATTTATTTGCAAATTATGGTGGAAAATAAGTATTTGGTCACCTACAAACAAGCTGTTCACAACCTCAAACAGTCACACTCCAAACTCCACTATGGCCAAGACCAAAGAGCTGTCAAAGGACACCAGAAACAAAATTGTAGACCTGCACCAGGCTGGGAAGACTGAATCTGCAACAGGTAAGCAGCTTGGTTTGAAGAAATCAACTGTGGGAGCAATTATGTCATAGTTGACGTGTACCTATGATGAAAATTACAGGCCTCTCTCATCTTTTTAAGTGGGAGAACTTGCATAATTGGTGGCTGACTAAATACTTTTTTTCCCCACTGTACATGAAGGCAGGGTAAAGTGACTAGGCATCAGGATAAATAATAATAAGAGTAAAACACAGAACATAGTAGCAGCAGCGTATGAGTGTGTGTGTGAGAGTGTAGCATTTTCATGGCCTTCCTCTGACACCGCCTGACATAGAGGTCCCTGATGGCAGGGAGCTCTGATATACAGGTCCTGGATGGCAGGGAGCGATGTACTGAGCTGTCTGCACCACCCTCTGTAGTGCTCTGCGGTCAGGGGCAGTGCAATTGCCATACCAAGCGGTGATGCAGCCAGTCAAGATGCTCTCAATGGTGCAGCTGTATAACTTTTTAAGGATCTGAGGGCCAATGCCAAATCTGTTCAGCCTCCTGAGGGGGAAGAGGCGCTGCCCTGCCATCTTCACGACTGTGCAGGTGTATGTGGACCATATATCACAAAAAATATGATATTGGAAGCAAAATATAAACCCAAAAGTATTGAAAACAAAACAAAATTTTGCAGGGAAATAATGTTTACATGAGAGAGCAAATTGATTGTAAATGTATGCAAAAAATAAAAAAAACTTTACTTTTTGTGGCTAATTCAGTATGATGCCATCACCATTTGTCCATAAATGTTTATGAATCACAACATCAAATTCCTTTTGAATTACAGTCTAGGATAAAGTTATCTACACTGCATTTGGAAAGTATTCAGACCCCTTGACTTTTTACAGTCTAGGATAAAGTTATCTATTTCTTGCATCTACTGTAAATTGAAAAAACTTTGACAAAGCAGCCATTTCTCTTCACCACAGAAACGATCATGAGTCGAAAGTTTAAAATAAAATAAAAAGCTGCTAGTAGCTCCGATGCAATAATTGATCAACCAGCGTTTCCACAGCAAGCTTTGTTTATCAGGGTTTTATGATCAGAGAAAGACCTTCACAATGTCTTCCCAAAGTATCTCTCTTGTTTCTCTCTTTTCTAACCATTCAAACAAGAAGACCACAACACACACACAACAATATCCTTTCAAAGTATCTATCTTTCCCTCTCTCTTCTTCAAGCACTCAAACAAGATGTATAAAGGTTTTCATTTCGTTTTTTTCTCTTTCATAGAGCCTGAAGATTGCCCCGCAAAGACAGCTGAGAGTAAATGAAAGTGAAATGGGCCAGTAAAAGAGATAACTCAAACTTCTCTAACTTTGCCTCAAGATTCAATAAAAACACTCACCACCACAATGCTGAATGTCACAAACATCAACAATTCCTCATATTTTCAAAATGCTGTGGCTTAGCCAATCAGACATTATCTGCTTGACCCTGTCTGCCCTGAATGAGACAGAGGTATTGTGTAGGCGTATGCCGTGAATAGGGGGTCAGCATGGTGGAGTTAGTGCAGAGTCTGGCTAAAAGGACTTAAGAAAATATTAGAGCAAAGTTTGAGAAAACATCCTCAAATGTTGAAGCAGATACTAGTCTGACTCTAATATATTAATAGTGAACCTTGAGACAGGTAGATGGGGAACGTTGGGACAGATAGATGGGGAACCTTAGGACAGATAGATGGGGAACGTTGGGACAGGTAGATGGGGAACGTTGGGACAGGTAGATGGGGAACGTTGGGACAGGTAGATGGGGAATGTTGGGACAGGTAGATGGGGAACCTTGAGACAGGTAGATGGGGAACGTTGGGACAGGTAGATGGGGAACCTTGAGACAGGTAGATGGGGAATGTTGGGACAGGTAGATAGGGAACCTTGGGACAGGTAGATGGGGAACCTTGGGACAGGTAGATGGGGAACCTTGGGACAGGTAGATGGGGAACCTTGGGACAGGTAGATGGGGAACCTTGGGACAGGTAGATGGGGAACGTTGGGACAGGTAGATGGGGAACGTTGGGACAGGTAGATGGGGAATGTTGGGACAGGTAGATGGGGAACCTTGAGACAGGTAGATGGGGAACCTTGGGACAGGTAGATGGGGAACCTTGGGACAGATAGATGGGGAATGTTGGGACAGGTAGATAGGGAACCTTGGGACAGGTAGATGGGGAACCTTGGGACAGGTAGATGGGGAACCTTGGGACAGGTAGATGGGGAACCTTGGGACAGGTAGATGGGGAATGTTGGGACAGGTAGATAGGGAACCTTGGGACAGGTAGATGGAGAACCTTGGGACAGGTAGATGGGGAACCTTGGGACAGGTAGATGGGGAACCTTGAGAGAGGTAGATAGGGAACCTTGAGACATGTAGATGTATGCAGTCTAACTAGAATTACACACATAGGCCTTGAAGTCTAATCCATCCATTGAGCCATGAGATGTCAAACAGAAAATATGCATGCCTTTATGCAAGGTCCTATGGGTGTATGTGATTGTGTGTGTGTGTGTGTGTGTGTTTGTGTGTATGTGTGTGTGTGGGTGTGTGTGCATTTGTGTCACTGCATGTAGAGACTTACCTTTCCCTGTTGAATTTGAGCGAGTGCAAGATGGCTGGGCGTCTCTGGCGAAGGTTCCACAGGTGTAGTGTTTCATCTGCACATGCTGTGACCAGAGCTCCCTGAAGGAGAGGTACAGAACACAGACAGTCAGTACACCAGAGCTCCCTGAAGGAGAGGTACAGAACACAGAGAGTCAGTACACCAGAGCTCCCTGAAGGAGAGGTACAGAACACAGAGAGTCAGTACACCAGAGCTCCCTGAAGGAGAGGTACAGAACACAGAGAGTCAGTACACCAGAGCTCCCTGAAGGAGAGGTACAGAACACAGAGAGTCAGTACACCAGAGCTCCCTGAAGGAGAGGTACAGGACACAGAGAGTCAGTACACCAGAGCTCCCTGAAGGAGAGGTACAGAACACAGAGAGTCAGTACACCAGGATCCCTGAAGGAGAGGTACAGAACACAGAGAGTCAGTACACCAGAGCTCCCTGAAGGAGAGGTACGGGACACATACAGTCAGTACACCAGGGCTCTCAACTTCTTCTAGCATGAGAGCTACTTTTTAAAAATGAAACATGTCATGAGCTACTCATTTTTTTCTATCTTTCAAATAGGCACATTCCTCTCCTCTCCCCTCCCCTGCCTGGTGTGTGTCTACACTAAGGACCAGGGGAAGAGTTTCAAATCTGTTTCTTCCTGAAGTGGGAGGAAGACTCAAGAGGAGAAAGAGAGGGAGAAAGAGAGAGTTGAGAGAGTTGCACTGCATGTGGTGCATGTTAGTATACACAGCATGTACAGTGCCTTGCAAAAGTATTCATCCTCCTTGGCGTTTTTTCCTATTTTGTTGCATTACAACCTGTAATTTAGATGGATTTTTATTTGGATTTCATGTAATGGACATACACAAAATAGTCCAAATTAGTGAAGTGAAATGAAAAGAATAACTTGTTTCAAAAAATTATAAAAAATAAATAACGGAAAAGTGGTGCGTGCATATGTATTTCACCCCCTTTGCTATGAAGCCCCTAAATAAGATCTGGTGCAACCAATTAACTTCAGAAGTCACATAATTAGTTAAATAAAGTCCACCTGTGTGCAATCTAAGTGTCACATGATCAGTTACATGATCTCAGCATATATACACCTGTTCTGAAAGGCCCCAGAGTCTGCAACACCACTAAGCAAGGGGCACCACCAAGCAAGCGGCACCATGAAGACCAAGGAGCTCTCCAAACTGGTCAGGGACAAAGTTGTGGAAAAGTACAGATCAGGGTTGGGTTATAAAAAAATATCAGAAACTTTGAACATCCCACGGAGCACCATTAAATCCATTATAAAAAAATGGAAAGACTATGGCACCACAACAAATCTGCCAAGAGAGGGCCGGCCACCAAAACTCCTGGACCAGGCAAGGAGAGCATTAATCAGAGGCAACAAAGAGACCAAAGATAACCCTGAAGGAGCTGCAAAGCTCCACAGCGGAGATTGGAGTATCTGTCCATAGGACCATTTAAAGCCGTACACTCCACAGAGCTGGGCTTTATGGAAGAGTGGCCAGAAAAAAGCCATTGATTAAATAAAAAAATAAGCAAACACGTTTGGTGTTCGCCAAAAGGAATGTGGGAGATTCCCCAAACATATAGAAGAAGGTACTCTGGTCAGATGAGACTAAAATGTTGATGTAGTTATGCACACACACGTTTTCAGTTAATTGTCTTATTTCTTGTTTGTTTCACAATAAAAATATTTTGCATCTTCAAATGGGTAGGCATGTTGTGTAAATCAAATGTTACAAACCCCCAAAAAATCAATTGTAGTTTCAGGTTGTAAGGCAACAAAAAAGGACAAATGCCAAGGGGGATGAATACCTTCGCATCCACTGTATGTGTTTGCAGGTGGGGAGGCAGGTAGCCTAGCGGTGAAGAGCGTTGGGCCAGTAACCGAAAGGTTGCTGGTTCGAATCTCTGAGCAGCTAGTTGAAAGATATGCTCTTGAGCAAGGCACTTCACCCTAATAAAAAAAAAGTGACCCTTCCCTTCAACCAAAATAATAATTAAAACACAAAGTGGATAGCAGAGAACATCCTTTACCGTTTACCGTCACTCCTAGGACAGACCAGTGCCTTAGATATCGATTTTTAGAAACTGTTCTTCATCCTGCACAGAGCTGTGGGCCAAAGGTTGTGGGTTAACAGACCACTCTGAACAAGAGTACGGGTGGAAAGATCTCCTTTATAGTAAAAGCATTGCATGAATATGTCATCGTATTTGCAATTACGAGAAAAAAATGACCTTTTATAAAAATGTCATTCAATTCTACGTCGTTTTACATATTAGCAGAATATTTTTTATACCACACAAATTACCAAAATTACAGGCTAAGAATGGACAGAGAGATAAACCTATGTGTTCATTTTATTAAATCACTCCAATGCCAAATCAGTGTGTCTTGTTTGCAACGAAACTGTCCCTGTTTGCAAATAATTAAATCTGAGAAGGCATTAGGAATCTGAGCATGGTGCTTTTAAAAGTTAGGCCTACCTTTCCACCCCAGACAGAGTAGGCCTACCGACGCAGACAAAATGTAAGCTTTAACTGCTGGCTACTCTTCTTCCATGGCTTAGCCCAAAGAGAGGTCACAAGTGGTTCCCTAAAAGCTGTCTGGGTTTAAACATCTTCTATTGTACAGAAAGTGAATAGCTTAATCAATTGATAGTAACATAATTAGATTACTTCTCAAGCAAAGTACATTGTTTGTCTCCTCGGCTGTAGAAGTTTGTAGCTCAGCATCTGAATATCAACGAAATTAACCAATGATATCCCCATATGTATCGGAGTCACATCTTTTACAGCTTGTGTCTAGTTTAAAGCATCGTGGACCAAAGCGCTGTTATAGATCACTTTATATAATCTGATTTGTTTTCCTTTCCTTTCTTCAAAATCTTAAGATAACAATGGCCTGTGCTTTTGGCCATTTTCTTTAATAAAAGGTAGACCTATGGCATACCCTCTCATACCCCTCAATTTGAATACTGGTTTTACCTTAAAGTGGATTTCATTGTATTTTGCTATTTTGTCACTAATCTACACAAAAGTAAAAAATAAGTTTTTACAAATTATTACAAAATAAATAACTAAAATGTATTGGTTGCATAAGTATTCATCCCCTTTGTTATGCCAAGCCTAAATACGTTCAGGAGTAAAAATGTGCTTAACAAATCACATAATAAATTAGATGTGCAATAAAACGGGTTAACATGATATTAGAATGACTACCCTATCTCTGTACCACACACATACAATTATCTGTAAGGTCCCTCAGTCTAGAAGTTAATTTCAAACACAGATTCAACAACAAAGACCAGGGAGGTTTTCCAATGCCTCACAAAGAAGGGCACCTATTGGTTGATGGGTAAAAATAAATAAAACAGAGATTGAATATCCCTTTGAGCATTGTGCAGTTATTTATTACACTTTGGATGGTGTATCAATACATCCAGTCACTACAAAGATACAGGCATCCTTCCTAACTGAGTTGCCGGAGAGGAAGGAAACCACTCAGGGATTTCACCATGAGGCCAATTGTGACTTTAAAGCAGTTAAAGATTTTAATGGCTGTGGTAGGAGAAAACTGAGGATGGATCAACAACAGTGTAGTTACTCAACAATACTAACTTAAATGACAGAGTGAAAAGAAGGAAGCATGTACAGAATACAAATATTCTAAAACATGCATCCTGTTTGCAACGAGGTACTAAAGTAACACTGCAAAACATTTGGCAAAAGACAGAACTTTTTATCCTGAATACAAAGCGTTATGTTTGGGGCAAATCCAACACAACACATCACTGAGTACCACTCTCCACATTTTCAAGCATGGTGGTGGATTCATCATTTTATGGGTATGATTGTCATCCAGAAGGAGTGGGGAGTTTTTCAGGATAAAAAAGAAACGGAATGGAGCTAAGCACAGGCAAAATCCTAGAGGAAAACCTGGTTCAGTCTGCTTTCCACCGTAAATACTTATCTATTCAATATACGTATATTAGTGTTTTATTTTGTATACAATTTAAAAAAAACACAGATATATACAGTATCAGTCAAAAGTTTGGACACACCTACTCATTCAAGGGTTTTTCTTTATTTTTACTATTTTTTACATTGTAGGATAACAGTGAAGACATCAAAACTATGAAATAACACTAATGGAATCATGTAGTAACCAAAAAAGTGTTAAACAAATCAAAATATATTTTATATTTGAGATTCTTTAAATAGCCACCCATCGCCTTGATGACAGCTTTGCACTCTCTTGGCATTCTCTCAACCAGCTTCATGAGGTAGTCACCTGGAATGTATTTCAATTAACAGGTGTGCCGTCTTAAAAGTTAATTTGTGGAATTTCTTTCCTTAATGCGTTTGAGCCAATCAGTTGTGTTGTGACAAGGTAGGGGGGGGTATAAAGAAGTTAGCCCTATTTGGTAAAAGACCAAGTCCATATTATGGCAAGAACAGCTCAAATAATCAAAGAGAAACGACAGTCCAACATTACTTTAAGACATGAAGGTCAGTCAATACGGAACATTTCAAGAACTTTGAAAGTTTCTTCAAGTGCAGTCGCAAAAACCATCAAGCGCTATGATGAAACTGGCTCTCATGAGGACCGCCACAGGAATCGAAGACCCAGAGTTACCTCTGCTGCAGAGGATAAGTTCATTAGAGTTACCAGCCTCAGAAATTGCAGCCCAAATAAATGCTTCACTAAGTTCAAGTAACAGACACATCTCAACATCAACTGTTCAGAGGAGACTGGGTGAATCAGGCCTTCATGGTCAAATTGCTGCAAAGAAACCACTACTAAAGGACACCAATCAGAAGAAGAGACTTGCTTGGGCCAAGAAACACGAGCAATGAACATTAGACCGGTGGAAATGTGCCCTTTGGTCTGGAGTCCAAATTGGAGATTTTCGGTTCCAACCTCTGTTTCTTTGTGAGACGCGGTGTGGGTGAACGGATGATCTCCGCATGTATATTTTCCACCGTAAAGCATGGAAGAGGAGCTTTGCTGGTGACACTGTCTGTGATTTATTTAGAATGCAAGGCACACTTAACCAGCATGGCTACCACAGTATTCTGCAGCGATACACCATCCCATATGGTTTGGGATAGTGGAACTATCTGTGGTCCTCTGTAGCTCAGCTGGTAGAGCACGGCGCTTGTAACGCCAAGGTAGTGGGTTCGAACCCCGGGACCACCCATACACAAAAAAATGTATGCATGCATGACTGTAAGTCGCTTTGGATAAAAGCGTCTGCTAAATGGCATATTATTATTATTTGTTTTTGAATAGGACGATAACCCAACACACCTCCAGGCTGTGTAAGGGCTATTTGACCAAGAAGGAGAGTGATGGAGTGCTGCATCAGATGACCTGGCCTCCACAATCCGCCGATCTCAACCAAATTGAGATGGTTTGGGATGAGTAGGACCGTAGACTGTTGGAAAAGCATTCCAGGTGAAGCTGGTTGAGAGAATGCCAAGAGTGTGCAAAGCCATCATCAAGGCAAAGGGTGGCTGTTTGAAGAATCTCAAATATAAAATATATTTTGATTTGTTTGACACTTTTTTGGTTACAACATGATTCAATATGTGTTAGTTCAAAGTTGAGATGTCTTCAGTATTATTCTACAATGTACAAAAGAGTAGAAATAAAGAAAAACCCTTGAATGAGTAGGTGTTCTAAACCTTTTGACCGCTAATGTATGCCATTCAGCAGACACATTAATCCAAAGCGAGTTACAGTCATGAATGCTTACATTCTACATATGGGAGGTCCAGGGAATCAAACCCACTATCCTGGCGTTGCAAACACTATGTTCTACCATCTGAGTTACAGAGGTCCCTCTAGAACCCATTTACTATTCAGATGTATAATTCAGGGAACATTTCATTCATTCACACAGGGAAACCAACCATCGAATTAGCCTTTAGTCGACCTCTTACATGGAGAGACAGCCTTTAGTCAACCTCTTACATAGAGAGACAGCCTTTAGTCACCCTCTTACAGAGAGGGACAGCATTTAGTCACCCTCTTACAGAGAGAGACAGCATTTAGTCACCCTCTTACATAGAGAGACAGCCTTTAGTCACCCTCTTACAGAGAGAGACAGCATTTAGTCAACCTCTTACATAGAGAGACAGCATTTAGTCAACCTCTTACATAGAGAGACAGCATTTAGTCACCCTCTTACATAGAGAGACAGCCTTTAGTCAACCTCTTACAGAGAGGGACAGCATTTAGTCACCCTCTTACAGAGAGAGACAGCATTTAGTCACCCTCTTACATAGAGAGACAGCCTTTAGTCACCCTCTTACAGAGAGAGACAGCCTTTAGTCAACCTCTTATGTAGAGAGACAGCATTTAGTCACCCTCTTACATAGAGAGACAGCATTTAGTCACCCTCTTACATAGAGAGACAGCCTTTAGTCACCCTCTTACAGAGAGGGACAGCATTTAGTCACCCTCTTACAGAGAGAGACAGCATTTAGTCACCCTCTTACATAGAGAGACAGCCTTTAGTCACCCTCTTACAGAGAGAGACAGCATTTAGTCAACCTCTTACATAGAGAGACAGCATTTAGTCAACCTCTTACATAGAGAGACAGCATTTAGTCACCCTCTTACATAGAGAGACAACCTTTAGTCAACCTCTTACAGAGAGGAACAGCATTTAGTCACCCTCTTACAGAGAGAGACAGCATTTAGTCACCCTCTTACATAGAGAGACAGCCTTTAGTCACCCTCTTACAGAGAGAGACAGCCTTTAGTCAACCTCTTATATAGAGAGACAGCATTTAGTCACCCTCTTACATAGAGAGACAGCATTTAGTCGACCTCTTACAGAGAGAGACAGCCTTTAGTCAACCTCTTACATAGAGAGACACCCTTTAGTCGACCTCTTACATAGAGAGACACCCTTTAGTCGACCTCTTACAGAGAGAGACAGCCTTTAGTCAACCTCTTACAGAGAGAGACAGCCTTTAGTCGACCTCTTACAGAGAGAGACAGCATTTAGTCACCCTCTTACATAGAGAGACAGCCTTTAGTCGACCTCTTACAGAGAGGGACAGCCTTTAGTCAACCTCTTATATAGAGAGACAGCCTTTAGTCACCCTCTAACATAGAGAGACAGCCTTCAGTCAACCTCTTACAGAGAGAGACAGCCTTTAGTCAACCTCTTACAGAGAGAGACAGCCTTTAGTCAACCTCTTACAGAGAGAGACAGCCTTTAGTCACCCTCTTACAGAGAGAGACAGCCTTTAGTCACCCTCTTACATAGAGAGGCAGCCTTTAGTCGACCTCTTACAGAGAGAGACAGCATTTAGTCACCCTCTTACATGGAGCCTTTGTCCTCAGGAGTGAATGAGTCCAGCTTATGGGATTAAAGCTGAACAATGACACTATGAATGTAGTGATTTCATGAATATAGTCATTAGAAGGCACCAATGCAGGGTTTGAATGAAAGCAGGGCCCTGGGATGCAGCAGATCAGGCCAATAACAAAGCGATGGGCATATTAAAGAGTGCAAAGAATAACCCATTTTTGTCCAGCACATCAATTCTACAGCATCGCCAAGGACCCTGGCACAGTGTCTGTGTGTTGAGAGCTGTATTTTAATGTAAAGAAGCTGGGCTCTCGTCATCGGCAGTGTGAGGGAGGCAGAGGCTGATCACTTCAGGACCCCAGCAGCATGTCAAGGGGGCTGGTAGCTGGGTGTCCAAACATCAGGATGTCATACCAGACAACCCACACACCTCACTGCATCAGAGCCATCAGAGATGTGTCAAGATCAGCGCTGTGAGTCACTGGAAAAAAAATAAGCGTTTCAATATATTAACGTCCCATTTTGCAAAGACCCTTTCATCCAAAAGCAGCTTACAGTCAATCGTGCACACATTTGACATACGGGTGGCAACAGGAATCGAACCAACTGATCCTGATGTTGCAAGCGCCATGCTTCACCGACTGAGCCACACGAGACCACAGCGTGAGTGTGTGAGTCCAGAGAGACCAGAGAACATAAATGTCAATATCTTTTGTTGGTGTACATCTGTATCAACGTACTGTACACAATACTACATGTATAACGTGTGTAACTCTTATATGCACGTAGAAGAGGAAGTGTGATCATTGATTGGTGTGTGCAGTAGCAGCCAGGTCATCCGTGATACAAGTCAGTGTGTCGGGAGATGATGTGAGCATCTGCCTCTGATTACAAAGGTTACAAAAGTTCAAATCCAGCAACAGAAAGATGTTTTTGAAATCATTGTTTTGAGCATATCCCAAACCTTGACCCTTACCTTACCCATTCAGAATGAGTGTCTAAACATAATGTTTTAACCCTATCCCAAACCTTAACCCTTACCTTACCCATTCAGAATGAGTGTCTAAACATAATGTTTTAACCCTATCCCAAACCTTAACCCTTACCTTACCCATTCAGAATGAGTGTCTAAACATAATGTTTTAACCCTATCCCAAACCTTAACCCTTACCTTACCCATTCAGAATGAGTGTCTAAACATAATGTTTTAACCCTATCCCAAACCTTGACCCTTACCTTACCCATTCAGAATGAGTGCCTAAACTTAACCATAACCTTAAACATTTTGAGTTAATGTCTAAACTTAAGCTTAAACTATTTTAAAGTTGACGTTTGCAGCAACTTTTAAATTTGACATTTTAGAAACGTGGATGAACATCTAATTCTGATGTGAGACTATGAGAGCTAGTTGGGAGTATACATCAGCATTTATCCGGCCATTGGTTTTGAATAATCCATTCTGCTCTGCGGTCGTCAATGGTTTTGTTTGTTTTCATCAGAAAACAATCCTTCTTGCTTCACCCTCAGATAAAAAGAGCAAACTCTATCAACAGCTATCAATACATCTCTCTTCTCTTTACTATATCACTCACTCTACATACAGAAGATAGCGCGCTAGCTATCGATCTCTCAGAGCCTCGATCTCTCTCCTCGCTCTCGCTCTCTATCTCTCTCGCGTCTCGCTCTCAGCTCTGCTCTCACTCGCTCTCTATGCTCTCTCTCTCTCTCTCTCTCTCTCTCTCTCTCTCTCTCTCTCTCTCTCTCTCTCTCTCTCTCTCTCTCTCTCTCTCCCTCTCAGATTCCAGAACAGATTATGTGTTTTTAAACGGCTGAGAGAATACCAACTAAATACTGTATTCCAACTGGACTTGTGGATGTAGAGACAGGGGGAATAGAATGGAAGCAGTCCTACCTCATTGATGAGGAACTGTAGCTGAAGAACTGCGGCTCCACTCTCATGCTGGCTGTAGCAGTCCACCCCAGGCCGGCCCAGTCTGATGACATCACACAGTCAAGGAAACATCCAGGAAGTAGGATGCATTGGCATAGCACAACACAATGTATAGCACACACACACACGCACGCACACACACACACGCACACACTAACACACACACACACACACACACACACACACACACACACACACACACACACACACACACACACACACACGCACACACACACACACACATGCACGCAAACACACACACACACACGCACACACACACTAACACACACACACGCACACACGCACACACACACACACACGCACACACACATGCACACACACACACACACACACACACGCACGCACGCACGCACGCACACAAACACCACCTGTTGAACCACCTGATACACTAGCTAATTGTATTTTTGTACAATATTTACGTCACAATATATACGTCACAATATATGCTTCACAATATATACAAAAGTCCTATAAAAAAAAAATAGAACACTGCCAACCCTACTTGCAGATGCACGTGGATGAAAGTCAAAAGAATTGCTGGGCGTCGCGACACACAAAGGGCTCTTCACGTACAGTCATCTACCATTTGGAATCAAAAGTGCACTGTTCCAGAGGGTGATGGACCAGATCTTGGGTGGATTGCCAGGAGTACAATGCTACCTGGATGACATCCTCATTACCGGAAAGGATGAAGAGGACCGTCTCCAGGACTTGGATGTGACCTTACAGAGATTGAAGGACTACGGACGGCGAGTTCGTAAGGACAAATGTGCATTCTTCATTTCTTCATTCTTCAGTTCTTGTCACCTACTATATCAAGTACCGCAAGTCCGAACTGCACTGCACTGAAGTGCAACGTAGCTGGACTCTGCAGGTTACCACTACCTGTGGTCATGCTAACTGTGGTCATTCTACCTGTGGTCATGCTATCTGTGGTCATGCTACCTGTGGTGAACATGTCGGACCCCAGTAAGACTAGCTGTCTCCATTGGCGTCGGCTAATGGGGAAGCTAATAAATCAAATCAAAATGCTGGAGTCACGTCAAGTGGACATCTTCTACTTCAGACAAGTGGAAAATGCCCCAAGTCACTTCAACACAGGTGTGGAGAAATACCGGAAACAACCCGGTGTTATCTGAAGTGATGGACATCATCATCATCATCAAAGGAGGTGCTCCGGATTTGAAACCTTACCTTTTCCAGGAGAAACTGAGCTGTCGGTACAGTCTGGTTGTCTACTGTGGGGGGGAGGATAGTTATCGCTCAGATTATTGTGGAATGGTTCAGATGAAGGAAATCGCACGAAGCTACTTCTGGTGGCCCGGATTGGATGGAAGCATTGAGGAGGAAACAAAAGCACGTTCCTCGTGTCAGAAGGCTCGCACCTCTTCACTGGCCGGAGAAGGCGTGGTTGGATGGAAGCATTGAGGAGGAAACAAAAGCGCGTTCCTCGTGTCAGAAGGCTCGCACCTCTTCACTGGCAGGAGAAGGCGTGGCAACAAATACGCATCATCATCGCAGGTCCTTTCGAAAGACACAACGTTTCTCGCGGTTGTGGATTGCTCATAGCAAGTGGCCAGAGGTTAGGTTGCCGTCATGAGGTCTACTACTGCAGAGAAGACCGTCGAGAAGTTTTGGAGAAGTGTTTAGTCGTCGGTTCGGAAATGTCACTCCAACTCGTATGTGACAACGGACCGCAGCTGGTGTCCCACGTTCCTGCAGTTGAATGGCGGACAGCACATCAGGTACGCACCGTACCATCCATTAACCAATGGGCTGGCGGAGAGGTTCGTACCGACCATTCAAAATGCCTTAAAAGTGCTTAAAGGTCAAGGGACCAATGACTGAACAGCTTCCTGCTATGCTGCAGGAAGACACCTCACGCAACCACCAAGGCTTCGCCTGCATCGCTACTCTTGAAGAGAGAGTTACGCACAAGCTTCGACATACTCAAACCTCCGAACGCCAAGGACTGTTCCTGGGTGACACCCTGACCCAGCAGTCATCACCTAAGGCCTCACACAGTCACCTTCTCAGGACACTGACTCAGCCGCACCCACACAAGTGTGTGATGAGACTGTGACACAGTAGGCATGTGACACAGTCTACTCACATACCTACACCTGTGTCAACGCCACAGTCTAGAGACGTTGTTGAGAGTCAACAATGTTTTAAGAGTCAGGTTGACCGCCGTTACCCTGTGAGAGATAGGCGGGCACCAAAACAATTGGACTTGTAAGGTTGTTCATAATAGTTTTTCATAATGGGGACAATTCATGTAGGAGGGGAGGAGTTGTTGTGTTTTAGGGTTGTGCTGCAGAGCATCATGGGGGCTGTATGTGTTGAGATGGACACGTTCTACATAAATGGATGAACTTTTTCCTGTCTCCCGTCTCACCATTATTGAAATGTTATAAAGAGGTTAAAGGTTATGAAACCCACCAGACATAGCAGAAAGTTTTTACGGGTCCCTCACAGAACCTTTGACGGTAGTTTCTAACCTCATCAACTCCACCATCTCTCTTTCTCCTCTCCCTATCCTTCTTGGCACAGAACAGAGAGACAGTGATGAGAGAGGAGAGAGAAAATAGAGGAGAGAATAAAGAGGTTTTACTACAGTAACCCAGAGAGAAGAGGAGGATCAGACAGAGTTGTTATTGTTGTGGATGTTCTCTGTCTGTCTGTATCCAAAAGAACAGGCCTGAGGGATGGACAACAAGGGGACTATGGGATATCAGGCTGCTGTGAGACACACTCAGTCTCATTAACAATGATCACAATCAGATAAACCGTCTTTCAGTCCTCTGATTTCACTGAGAGGTGGTAATGGACAGAACAATCACATCTCCAGAACAATCACATCTCCAAAACAATCACATCTCCAGAACAATCACATCTCCAGAACAATCACATCTCCAGAACAATCACATATCCAGAACAATCACATCTCCAGAACAATCATATATCCAGAACAATCACATCTCCAGAACAATCACATCTCCAGAACAATCACATCTCCAGAACAATCATATATCCAAAACAAGCATACTGTGTCTCCAAGCAAAGCAAATGAGAACCAACATTTTCCCAACATCCTGATGGCCACCAAAGTGCTTTTCCATTATGTTTGTTTGTTTGTTTGTTTATTTTTTTGTTTGTTTCTATTCGCACGCCTACACACACAAACACACGCACACACACACACACACCTTATTACACACTCTGATACACACACTGATGAACTGAGCCAACTCAGCCAGGGTTCAGCCTGCATGCGTCATGGCCTGCTGTTGATCTGCAGTAGAACAGAGGTGTAAAGCTTTAGAGGCAGTGTTCTGATTGACCACACAAGGGGACAACACAATGTGTCAGAACAGATACATGCATACAGACACACACACACACACACGCACACGCACACGCACACGCATGGTCATGGGACCTATAATTAGTGATATTTCAGTTTTTAAAAATATATACATTTGCAAAAAAATTCTAAAAACCTGTTTTCTTTTGTCATTATGGGGTATTGTGTGTAGATTGATGAGGGGGGGGGAACAATTTAATCAATTTTAGAATAAGGCCGTAACGTAACAAAATGTGGAAAAAGTCAAGGGCTCTGAATACTTTCCGAATGCACTGTATATGAAACAGCTAAACATGTGTGCACTGTGCTGGTGAAACATCAGATTGATAGTGTAGCCGTGACATGGCTGCTGTTAACACCACAGCAATATCGATTTTGATATTAGTTTGCAGATTGTGTCTCAACAGGCCTAACGCTATTACAGAAAGGAACATTACATTTCTGCTTAGCTGTAAAATATCCCACATTGTGTAGATATAGTTGTGTTAGGGCCATATCCCACATTGTGTAGATATACAGTGGGGGAAAAAAGTATTTAGTCAGCCACCAATTGTAACAAGTTCTCCCACTTAAAAAGATGAGAGAGGCCTGTAATTTTCATCATAGGTACACGTCAACTATGACAGACAAATTGAGAAGAAAAAAATCCAGAAAATCACATTGTAGGATTTTTAATGAATTTATTTGCAAATTATGGTGGAAAATAAGTATTTGGTCACCTACAAACAAGCAAGATTTCTGGCTCTCACAGACCTGTAACTTCTTCTTTAAGAGGTTCCTCTGTCCTCCACTCGTTACCTGTATTAATGGCACCTGTTTGAACTTGTTATCAGTATAAAAGACACCTGTCCACAACCTCAAACAGTCACACTCCAAACTCCACTATGGCCAAGACCAAAGAGCTGTCAAAAGACACCAGAAACAAAATTGTAGACCTGCACCAGGCTGGGAAGACTGAATCTGCAATAGGTAAGCAGCTTGGTTTGAAGAAATCAACTGTGGGAGCAATTATTAGGAAATGGAAGACATACAAGACCACTGATAATCTCCCTCGATCTGGGGCTCCACGCAAGATCTCACCCTGTGGGGTCAAAATGATCACAAGAACAGTGAGCAAAAATCCCAGAACCACATGGGGGACCTAGTGAATGACCTGCAGAGAGCTGGGACCAAAGTAACAAAGCCTACCATCAGTAACACACTGCGGCGCCAGGGACTCAAATCCTGCAGTGCCAGACGTGTCCCCCTGCTTAAGCCAGTACATGTCCAGGCCCGTCTAACGTTTGCTAGAGTGCATTTGGATGATCCAGAAGAGGATTGGGAGAATGTCATATGGTCAGATTGTCAGCTTCCTGCCTCCTGTTTGTCTCCGGGCCTCTAGAGGTCATCTGTGTTCCCCTCTGCCTTAGTTCTCCCTCGTGTGTCCTTATTAGCTTTATCCAGGTCACCTGTGCCTTGTTTCCCCTAGAGTATTTTAGCTGTGTTTTTTCCCCTTGTTCCTCACTTGGTTTTTGAGTCCTGGCTATGTGTCTCCTGCTGTGTCCCACAGAGTCTTTCCGAGTAAGCTTTTCTAAGTTATCTTTATTTTGTTTTTCTCCCCTCGTGGAGTTATTTTGTTTGGTCCTCCTGTTTTGTTTACTGTACCTCTGTTAGTATACCTCTTTCTGAGAAGAACTTTTGTTGGATTATTTTTGAAGTGCAAAAAAATACCTTTTTTTATATTAAATCTACTTTGCCTAGAGTATTGCCTTGGGTGTTTCGTTTGGGTCCTACTATACCTCCTCTGTGGCTAAGGGGTAGAACACCCAACTCTCCTCATCTGAGACCTGAGTTCAAGCCCAGCTTGTGACACAGATGAAACCAAAATATAACTTTTTGGTAAAAACTCAACTTGTCGTGTTTGTAGGACAAAGAATGCTGAGTTGCATCCAAAGGCAACCTTGCCTACTGTGAAGCATGGGGGTGGAAACATCATGCTTTGGGGCTGTTTTTCTGCAAAGGGACCAGGACGACTGATCCGTGTAAAGGAAAGAATGAATGGGGCCATGTATCGTGAGATTTTGAGTGAAAACCTCCTTCCATCAGCAAGGGCATTGAAGATTAAACATGGCTGGGTCTTTCAGCATGACAATGATCCCAAACACACTGCCCGGGCAACGAAGGAGTGGCTTCGTAAGAAGCATTTCAAGGTCCTGGAGTGGCCTAGCCAGTCTCCAGATCTCAACCCCATAGAAAATCTTTGGAGGGAGTTGAAAGTCTGTGTTGCCCAGCGACAACCCCAAAACATCACCTGCTCTAGAGGAGATCTGCGTGGAGGAATGGGCCAAAATACCAGCAACAGTGTGTGAAAACCTTGTGAAGACTTACAGAAAACGTTTGACCTGTGTCATTGCCAACAAAGGGTATATAACAAAGTATTGAGAAACTTTTGTTATTGACCAAATACTTTTTTTCCACCGTAATTTGCAAATAAATTCATTAAAAAATCCTACAATGTGATTTTCTGGATTTTTTTTCTTCTCATTTTGTCTGTCATAGTTGACGTGTACCTATGATGAAAATTACAGGCCTCTCTCATCTTTTTAAGTGGGAGAACTTGCACAATTGGTGGTTGACTAAATACTTTTTTCCCCCACTGTAGTTGTGTTAGGGCTATATCCCATATGATTTCCCTATGATGCTCAGAGACTGAGCAACACTGATCTGATGTCAACTTGAAGTCAATTTGACCATGACCTAGACCTTTGACCTTGACGCTAGAGACAAATGGTATTCTGTGCAGTAAAGATCTATCCATGATGATCACAAGGATATACGTATGTTTTCCCTGTGATGTTCAGAGGCCGAGGAACAGTGATCTGAAGTTTGGCCAAAACAATCTACTAATTTCATAAATGTCGTAAAATGTCATAATTTGAATGATTTAACACTTTGGTACAGTAATCAAACATTTGGCTCTAAATTATGAACAGTTGGGTCTATCAACTCAGGGGAAAAAAAGCATATGAAAGAGGACATTCTCATCTACTGGAAAATACATTTTGGGAGGTTAAAATCATATATTTATTATCTTGATTTGCATTTTAATCAAGCATATGAAAGAGGACATTCTCATCTACTAGAAAATACATTTTGGGAGGTTAAAATCATATATTTATTATCATTTTAGTCATTTAGCTGACCCTCTTATGCAGAGCAATTAGGGTTAAGTGCCTTTCTCAAGGGCACTTCAACAGATTCTAACCAGCAACCTTTCAGTTTCTGTCACGGTCGTTGAGAGACGGGTCAGACCAAGGTGCAGCGTGGTATGCGAACATGTTTATTAAGTCAAATAAACATTAAACAAAATAAGAAACAACGTAACGTGAAGTCCTCAGGCTAAACAAATACGAGCCTAACACGGAACAATATCCAACAATGAAGGTAGGCAAACAGGCTACTTAAGTATGATCCCCAATCAGAGACAACGAGCGACAGCTGTCTCTGATTGGGAATCACACCCGGCCAAACATAGAAATACACTACCTAGATCACAAACATAGAGTCTCCAGCATAGAATCTCACACCCTGACCAAACCAACTAAAGACAACAGACCTCTCAAGGTCAGGGCGTGACAGTTTCAGTTACTAGCCCAACACTCTTAACCACTAGGCTACCTGCCGCCCCCTCACGATGTACGTACTGTACTATACGGGTCAAATTGACTGGAACGCAACCGGTGTAGGCTGAACGGAACATAAGGGAAGGGTTAAGAACAAATATACACCACATTCCTACGGTTGTTTAAAGTGGAACTAACAGCATTTTAGCAACATGAATTCTGATTCAAATATGTTCATATACAACCCCAGGAAGAATATGACACTTTTTCATTTTCTGACAAGCGAGCACTTAGATATGGTCATTTTCACGTTTTCATAAATTCAGTAGGCCTACAGTGAGGGATAAAAGTATTTGATCCCCTGCTGATTTTGTAAGTTTGCCCACTGACAAAGAAATGATCAGTATATATTTTTAATGGTAGGTTTATTTGAACAGTGAGACAGAATAACAACAAAAAAATCCAGAAAAACGCATGTCAAAAATGTTATAAATTGATTTGCATTTTAATGAGGGAAATAATTATTTTACCCCCTCTCAATCAGAAAGATTTCTGGCTCCCAGGTGTCTTTTATATAGGTAACGAGCTGAGATTAGGAGCACACTCTTAAAGGTAGTGCTCCTAATCTCAGCTTGTTAACTGTATAAAAGACACCTGTCCACAGAAGCAATCAATCAATCATTTCCAAACTCTCCACCATGGCCAAGACCAAAGAGCTCTCCAAGGATGTCAGGGACAATATTGTAGACCTACACAAGCCTGGAATGGGCTACAAGACCATCGCCAAGCAGCTTGGTGAGAAGGTGACAAAATAACTGTCAATCTCCCTCGGCCTGGGGCTCCATGCAAGATCTCAACTAGTGGAGTTGCAATGATCATGAGAACGGTGAGGAATCAGCCCAGAACTACAAGGGAGGATCTTGTCAATGATCTCAAGGCAGCTGGGACCATAGTCACCAAGAAAACAATTGGTAACACACTACGCCGTGAAGGACTGAAATCCTGCAGCGCCCGCAGGGTCCCCCTGCTCAAGAAAGCTCATATACAGACCCGTCTGAAGTTTGCCAATGAACATCTGAATGATTCAGAGGAGAACTGGGTGAAAGTGTTGTGGTCAGATGAGACCAAAATCGAGCTCTTTGGCATCAACTCAACACGCCGTGTTTGGAGGAGGAGGAATGCTGCCTATGACCCAAAGAACACCATCCCCATCGTCAAACGTGGATGTGGAAACATTATGCTTTGGGGGTGTTTTTCTGCTAAGGGGACAGGACAACTTCAACGCATCAAAGGGACGATGGACGGGGCCACGTACCATCAAATCTTGGGTGAGAACCTCCTTCCTTCAGCCAGGGCATTGAAAATGGGTCGTGGATGGGTATTCCAGCATGACAATGACCCAAAACACACGGCCAAGGCAACAAAGGAGTGGCTCAAGAATAGGCACATTAAGGTCCTGGAGTGGCCTAACCAGTCTCCAGACCTTAATCCCATAGAAAATCTATGGAGGGAGCTGAAGGTTCGAGTTGCCTAACGTCAGCCTCGAAACCTTCATGACTTGGAGAAGATCTGCAAAGAGGAGTGGAACAAAATCCCTCCTGAGATGTGTGCAAACCTGGTGGCCAACTACAAGAAACATCTGACCTCTGTGATTGCCAACAAGGATTTTGCCACCAAGTACTAAGTCATGTTTTGCAGAGGGGTCAAATACTTATTTCACTCATTAAAATGCAAATCAATTGATAACATTTTTGACATGCGTTTTTCTGGATTTTTTTGTTGTTGTTATTCTGTCTCTCACTGTTCAAATAAACCTACCATTAAAATTATAGACTGATCATGTCTTTGTCAGTGGGCAAACGTACAAAATCAGTTGCAACAGTGCGACTTTAGATGATTAGAATGCATTCGGCAAAAGCCACAAAATAAACTTGAATGGATTTCTGCAAATGCTGTAGCTAAATACCATAGGAGTCCTCTTACATTTGGGAACTTCACAGTCCTATTGATCAAACAACCATAAAAAGGCAGGCTATCTTCCCCTATATGCACATCACCAACAACAAGATCAACAACTAATGATAGCCAGGGCTAGATGAGCTCAAATCTAACAAAGGAACATTAGATAAACCTTTTCAAACTTTTTCAGCTAGTTGGCCATCAAAGTTGTACTGATAAACAAAAAAATTAAAAAAAATAAACGATGGGGAGTAGCCTGGTCGTCCTTCTGCAGTTTGACTGCCAATGCATGCGTTGTCCCAACCAAGCACCCAAGCTAACTGGCTAAAGTTGGCTACCTTGATAGGCTAGCTACTTCTAGACACACTTCTGACCATTTTACTGTGGGCAGCAGGTAGCTTAGTGGGTAAGAGCGTTGTGCCAGTAACCGAAAGGTCGCTGGTTCTAATCCCTGAGCCGACTAGGTGAAAAATCTGTCGATGTGCCCTTAAGCAAGGCACTTAACCCTAATTGCTCCTGTAAGTCGCTCTGGATAAGAGCGTCTGCTAAATGACTAAAATGTAAAAAATGTAAAAATGTACTGACCGTAGTAGAGCTGGTTAGGCACTTTACATGTTATCTAGAGCGTTCTTGACTAACTATTACTTTCCTTGCCCACGTTTACTGACACCGGTCATATTCAGTGGGTGTTGCGCGTTCGTAAATTCATCTGTTTTTCTGCGCTCTGGCACACTCAGACAAGAGTTCTCTGAAATCGGAGTGGACAGCTTGCCAGAGTGAATTTGTGAACACAAGAGATATGCTAACTGAATAACAGTCGTTCAGCATAGCTAGCTTGCTAGATAGCAAAGCGATTCACATTTCTTGCTAGCTAACCAAATTACACATGCATCTCTAATCAAATCAAAATAAAATAAAATCCAATTGTATTTCTCACATGCGCCGAATACAACAGGTTTAGACCGTTGTATTACAGTGAACTGCTTACTTACAAGCCATTACCCAACAATTCAGTTTTAAGAAAAATAAGTGATAACATAAAAAAATTATAATAACAATCATTAAAGAGCAGCAGTAAAATAACAGTAGGGAGGCTATATACTGGGGGTACCGGTACAGAGTCAATTTGAAATAACAGTAGGGAGGCTATATACAGGGGGTACCGGTACAGAGTCAATGTGAAATAACAGTAGGGAGGCTATATACAGGGGGTACCGGTACAGAGTCAATTTGAAATAACAGTAGGGAGGCTATATACAGGGGGTACCGGTACAGAGTCAATGTGAAATAACAGTAGGGAGGCTATATACAGGGCTACCGGTACAGAGTCAATGTGCGGGGGCACCGGTTAGTCAAGGTAATTGAGGTAATATGTACATGTGGGTAGAGTTAATGTGACTATGCATAGATAATGAACAGAGAGTAGCAGCAGCATAAAAGAGGGGGGGGGGGGGGGGGGGCAGTGCAAATAGTCCATTTGATATTAGCTGTTCAGGAGTCTTGGCCCCAGTGACTTGGCGCTCCGGTACCACTTGCCGTGCGGTAGCAGAGAGAACAGTCTATGACTAGGGTGGCTGGAGTCTTTGACAATTTTTAGGGCTTTCCTCTGCTTGGTATAGAGGTCCTGGATGGCAGGAAGCTTGGCCCCAGTGATGTACTGGGCCGTACGCACTACCCTCTTTAGTGCCTTGCGGTCGGAGGCCGAGCAGTTGCCATACCAGGCGGTGATGCAATTAGCTAGGATGCTCTCGATGGTGCAGCTGTAGAACTTTATTAGGATCTGAGGACCCATGCAAAATCTTTTCAGTCTCCTGAGGGGGAATAGGCTTTGTCGTGCCCTCACCACGACTGTCTTGGTGTGTTTGGACCGTGATAGTTTGTTGGTGATGTGGACACCAATAAACTTGAAGTTCTCAACCTGCTCCACTACTGCCCCGTCGATGTTAATGGGGCCGTGCTCGGTCATCCTTTTCCTGTAGTCCACAATCATCTCCTTTGTCTTGATCACGTTGAGGAAGAGGTCGTTATCCTGGCACCACAAGGCCAGGTCTCTGACCTCCTCCCTACATGCTGTCTCATTGTTGTCGGAGATCAGGCCTACCACTGCTGTGTCGTCGGCAAACTTAATGATGGTGTTGGAGTCATGCCTGGCCATGCAGTCATGGTTGAACAGGGAGTACAGGAAGAGACTGAGCACGCACCCCTGAGGGGCCCCCGTGTTGAGGATCAGCGTGGCGGATGTGTTGTTACCTACACTTACCACCTGGGGGCAGCCCGTCAGGAAGTCCAGGATCCAGTTGCAGAAGGAGGTGTTTAGTCCCAGGGTCCATAGCTTAGTAATGAGCTTTGAGGGCACTATGGTGTTGAACGCTTTCCAGTAGTCAATTCATAGCATTTTCACATACAGTTGAAGTCGGAAGTTTACATACACTTACGTTGGACTCATTAAAACTTATTTTCCAACCACTCCACACATTTCTTGTTAACAAATGATAGTCTTGGCAAGTCGGTTAGGACATCTACTTTGTGCATGACACAAGTCATTTTTCCAACAATTGTTTACAGACAGATTATTTAACTTATAATTCACTGTATCACAATTCCAGTGGGCCAGAAGTTTACATACACAAAGTTGAATGTGCCTTTAAACAGCTTAGAAAATTCCAGAAAATTATGTAATGGCTTTAGAAGCTTCTGATAGGCTAATTGACATAATTTGAGTAAATTGGAGGTATACCTGTGGATGTATTTCAAGGCCTACCTTCAAACTCAGTGCCTCTTTGCTTGACATCATGGGAAAATCAAAAGAAATCAGCCAAGACCTCAGAAAAAAATTGTAGACCTCCACAAGTCTGGTTCATCCTTGGGAGCAATTTCCAAATGCCTGAAGGTACCACGTTCATCTGTACAAACAATAGTACGCAAGTATAAACACCATGGGACCACGCATACTGTCTCCTAGAGATGAATGTACTTTGGTTCGAAAAGTGCAAATCAATCCCAGAATAACAGCAAATGATCTTGTGAAGATGCTGGAGGAAACAGGTACAAAAGTATTTATATCCACAGTAAAACTATATCCACAGTAAAACTAAACCTATATCGACATAACCTGAAAGGCCGCTCAGCAAAGAAGAAGCCACTGCTACAAAACCGCCATAAAAAAGCCAGACTACAGTTTGCAACTGCACATGGGGACAAAGATCGTACTTTTTGGAGAAATGTCCTCTGGTCTGATGAAACAAAAAGAGAACTGTTTGGCCATGATGACCATCGTTATGTTTGGAGGAAAAAGGGGGTTGCTTGCAAGCCGAAGAACACCATGTGAGCCATGAACAGCATTTCAAAGCAATTCATGGCTACAGACGTGAGTGCTACGGGTCTGTAGTCATTTAGGCAGCTTACCTTAGTGTTCTTGGGCACAGGGACTATGGTGGTCTACTTGAAACATGTTTATGTTACAGACTCAGTCAGGGACAGGTTGAAAATGTCAGTGAAGACACTTGCCAGTTGGTCAGCGCATGCTTGGAGTACACGTCCTGGTAATCTGACTGGCCCTGTGGCCTTGTGAATGTTGACCTGTTTAAAGGTCTAACTCACATCGGCTACGGAAAGCGTGATCACACAGTAGTCCAGAACAGCTGATGCTCTCATGCATGTTTCAGTGATACTTGCCTCGAAGTGAGCATAGAAGTAATGTAGCTCGTCTGGTAGGCTCGTGTCACTGGGCAGCTCGCGGCTGTGCTTCCCTTTGTAGTATGTAATAATTTGCAAGCCCTGCCACATCCGACGAGCATCGGAACCGGTGTAGTACGATTCGATCTTAGTCCTGTATTGACGCTTTGCCTCTTTGATGGTTAATCGGAGGGCATAGCGGGATTTCTTATAAGCTTCCGGGTTAGAGTCCCGCTCCTTGAAAGCGGTAGCTCTACCCTTTAGCTCAGCGCGGATGTTGCCTGTAATCCATGGCTTCTGGTTGGGGTATGTACATACAGTCACTGTGGGCACGACGTCGTCAATGCACTTATTGATTACATTTACATTTTAGTCATTTAGCAGACGCTCTTATCCAGAGCAACTTACAGTTAGTGAGTGCATACATAATTTTATAATTTTATTCATACTGGCCCCCCGTGGGAATCGAACCCACAACCCTGGCGTTGCAAACGCCATGCTCTACCAACTGAGCTACATCCCTGCCGGCCATTCCCTCCCCTACCCTGGACGACGCTGGGCCAATTGTGCGCCGCCCCATGGGTCTCCCGGTCGCGGCAGGCTACGACAGAGCCTGGATTGATGAAGCCAGTGACTGATGTGGTGTACTCCTCAATGCCATCGGAAGAATCCCGGAACATATTCCAGTATGTGCTGGCCAAAACAGTCCTGTAGCTTAGCATGTGCTTCATCTGTAGCTCAGTTGGTAGAGCATGGCACTTGCAACGCCAGGGTTGTGGGTTCGATTCCCACGGGAGGCCAGTATGAAAAATTTCTGCACTCCCTGATTGTAAGTCGCTCTGGATAAGAGCGTCTGCTAAATGACTCAAGTGTAAATGTAATCTGACCACTTTTTTTTTTTACATACGTTTCCCGTGTCAATAAAGCCCTCAAATTGAAATTGAATTGAGAGAGAGAGAGGTTAGTGAGCTGGAGAGCGTAGATACAGGTGAAAACTAAATTGTTTCAATGTCGGTAAGTCATACTGACTCAGACACGGTTTATATGTTGTGACATATATACATTTATGTCATTAAGCAGACGCTCTTAACCAGAGCGACTTACAGGAGCAATTAGGGTTAAGTGCCTTGCTCAAGGGCACATCAACAGATTTTTCACCTAGTCGGCTCGGGGATTAGAACCAGCGACCTCTCTTAACCACTAAGCTACCTGCCGCCCCATATATTATGACTTATATATTGTGACATATATATTGTGAAGTATATATTGTGACGTATATATTGTGACGTATATATTGTGACGTATATATTGTGACGTATATATTGTACAAAAATACAATTAGCTAGTGTATCAGGTGGTTCAACAGGTGGTGTCTGTGTGTGTGTGTGTGTGTCTATGTGTGTGTGAGTGCGTGTGTGTGTGTGTGTGTGTGTGTGTGTGTGTGTGTGTGTGTGTGTGTGTGTGTGCGTGCGTGCGTGTGTCTGTGTGTGTGGGTGTGTGTGTGTGTGTGTGCGAGCTTGCCTTTGCCATTGTGTGTCACAATAACAGCTCCTGTCTCCTCCAACACCAACCACACCATGAGCAGGATGTTATTGTCCATCACTGACATCATTAGGAAGTGGAGGTGGGGAGGAGTGATGCGTCATCATAGAACACAGACAGTGAACGTGGTGACGTTTCATTTTGACTGCAGTGTGAACATGTTTGGGCTGTCCTTTTAAAAACGTAATGAAGCTGTTAGGAGCAGCCTTGGATGAAAACTGGCAGAGATGACAGAGTGTATGTGTGCGTCTGTGTGTGTGCGTCTGTGTGTGCATCTGTGTGTGTGCCTGTGTGTGTGTGTGCCTGTGTGTGTGTGTGCCTGTATGTGTGTGCCTATGTGTGTGTGCCTATGTGTGTGTGTGTGTCTGTCTGTCTGTCTGTCTGTCTCTGTCTGTCTGTCTGTCTGTCTGTCTGTCTGTCTGTCTGTCTGTCTGTCTGTCTGTCTGTCTGTCTGTCTGTCTGTCTGTCTGTCTGTCTGTCTGTCTGTCTGTCTGTCTGTCTGCGTGCGTGCGTGCGTGCGTGGGCCCCTGGCTGTATGTGTGGATGTTAATCAGTAATATGTGCTGAGGTGTGATATCCCAGCCTAATGTAGCCCTCATTAGATTATCACTCTTTCTTAGAACTTCGTGGACTAAGGGCTTATTCTACCTAATTTTCAAAGTTTGTAACCCTGTAACCCATCATAGAACAACAAGTAAACGTATTGAAGTCGAAACAGCTGAACCGACACGGTATGATAGCTAGGTAAATCATTGTGATTAGAAAAAGCTAAAATCACCTCTCCCCTCCACTTTCATCCACCTCTACCCCTCCGTGTCAATTGATCCATCCATCCATCTCTCCACTGCTTCCAGCCCAGGCCCCGGGGCCTCCCATCCCTCTCTCCCGCCCTCTCTTCATCCATCTCTCCATGGCTGACGGGCCAGTAAAAATAGCGTTGGTTTGCCACGCTCCATTTAATGAGGAAGAGAACAAACTGAGAAGTGATTATGACCCCCAAGAGAGGAATGAAGGAGAGAGGGAAGGAGAGGAATGAAGAACAGAGGGAAGGAGAGGATGAAGGAGAGAGGGAAGGAGAGGATTGAAGGAGAGAGGGAAGGAGAGGAATGAAGGAGTGAGGGAAGGAGAGGAATGAGGGAGATAGTGAAGGAGAGGAATGAAGGAGAAAGGGAAGGTGAGGAATGAAGGAGAGAGGGAAGGAGAGGAATGAAGGAGAGAGGGAAGGAGAGGAGTGAAGGAGAGAGGGAAGGAGAGGAATGAAGGAGAGAGTGAAGGAGGGAGGAGAAAAGTGCAGAATGGATTGGGATGAAATGAGGGTAGAGGTTTAAAGTGCACTGGAACACGGTTGTTCCAAATAGATTGTTTGTGTTACAATTATACAGAGACAGCAGGTCAACCATTTCACCCTCCATTTCCACCCTCCATCTGAGGGCTGAGGGAGACAGCCTCTCCTTTCAACAGGCCTGTAGAATGGCACACTAGAGGGGGGAAGTGAAAAGAGGAGAGGAGATAAGTGGTAGAAAAGGAGCTGGCAAAAAGGATGATGACTTGATTGGCTCTATAAAGAAATTCTAATAGGAAAGAAGCAGGCAGGCAATTATGTTCTGGCTCTTCCTAAATTAAAGTGGGTAGTGATACTGGGAAATATGGACCTGAGGAAATAGGGACCTTAGCCAAAACACAGGATGGGAGGATAGATATGGGAACATATTGAAGTTTAAATCATCCTCCCCTCTACATTCTTCTGGGTTAGAGAGAGAGAGAGAGAGAGAGAGAGAGAGAGAGAGAGAGAGAGAGAGAGAGGAGAGAGAGAGAGAGAGAGAGAGAAAGAAAGAGAGAGAGAGAGAGAGAGAGAGAGAGAGAGAGAGAGTGAGAGAGATCTTTGATTCATTTTGGAAGTATTTGATCCAGTTGTGTTAGAAATATTAACACCTAAATGTCACGATCGTCGTATGGAGTAGACCAATGCGCAGCGTCAGTTGCGAACATACTTCTTTATTAAGTGAAAGCACGAACAAAACAAGAAAACGATAACGTGACAGTCAACGGTCAAACACAAACCAACTCTAACAAGATCCCACAAAACACAAAGGGCAAACAGACAGTTTAAATATGGCTCCCAATCAGAGACAACCAGCCACAGCTGACACTCGTTGCCTCTGATTGGGAGTCACTCTGGCCAACATAGAAACAGCACAACTAGAACTCCCGACATAGAAATACGACACATAGAATGACCACACCCTGGCTCAACATATAGAGTCCCAGAGCCCGGATGTGACAGTACCCCCCCCCTAAAGGCGCGGACTGCGACCGCGCCTCAACTAGAACCAAACAGGGGAGGGCTGGGTGGGCATTCCTCCTCGGCGGCGGTTCTGGCTTGCCCACCACCCTCCAATAATCCCCCCATAGCACCCCTGGTCCGATCTGGCCCCGCTGGCTGGAGCTGAACTGGACGTAGTAGGAGAGGATAGCTTCAGCTCCGGTGTGGAGCAGCCGACCGGTACCTGATCAGGCAACGGTGACCCAGGCACGGGTTGTGCCGGACTGACGACGCGCACCCCTGGCTTGGTGCGTGGAGCAGGAACGGACCGGACCAGGCTGACGATGCGCACCCCTGGCTTGGTGCGCGGAGCAGCAACTGGCCGGACCGGGCTGACGATACGCACCCCTGGCTTGGTGCGTGGAGCAGGAATGGGCCTTACCAGGCTGACGTCTCGCACCCCTGGCTTGGTGCGTGGAGCAGCAACGGGCCGGACCGGGCTGACGATGCGCACCCCTGGCTTGGTGCGTGGAGCAGCAACGGGCCGGACCGGGCTGACGATGCGCACCCCTGGCTTGGTGCGTGGAGCCGGAACAGACCTTACCGGGCTGACGACTCGCACCCCTGGCTTGTTGCGAGTGGCAGGAACGGGCTGGACCAGGCTGACGACTCGCACCCCTGGCTTGGTGCGAGTGGCAGGAACAGGCCGGACCGGGCTGGCGACGCGCACCGTAGCTTTGGTGCGAGTGGCAGGAACAGGCCGGGCCGGGCTGGCGACGCACACCGTAGGTTTGGTGCGAGGAGCAGGAACAGGCCGAGCCGGGCTGGCGACGCGCACCGTAGGCTTGCTGCGAGTGGCAGGAACAGGCCGGGCCGGGCTGGCGACGCGCACCGTAGGCTTTGTGCGAGTGGCAGGAACAGGCCGGGCCGGGCTGGCGACGCGCACCATAGGCTTGATGCGAGTGGCAGGAACAGGCCGGGCCGGGCTGGCGACGCGCACCGTAGGCTTGGTGCGAGTGGCAGGAACAGGCCGGGCCGGGCTGGCGACGCACACCGTAGGCTTGGTGCGAGGGGCAGGAACAGGCTGGACCGGGCTGGCGACGCACACCGTAGGCTTGGTGCGAGGGGCAGGAACAGGCCGGGCCGGGCTGGCGACGCGCACCGTAGTCTTGGTGCGAAAGGCAGGAACAGGCCGGGCCGGGCTGGCGACGCGCACCGTACACTTGGTGCGAGGGGCCGGAACAGGCCGGACCGTACTGGGGACACACACCACTGGCTCTACCCCGGGATCTGGAACGGGCCGGACCGGACTGGTAACACACCCCAGTACCTCTCGCCGTGCCTCTACACCTTCTTTCCCTACTTTGACCAGTGGCCCCCGTAACCTGGTGGTCTTCTGAATTCGCCCCTTTTCTGCCTCCGTCAGCCCCGTTGTCCATGCCCTGTGCCCCCCCACTAAAAATTATTTGGGGTTGCCTCTCGTCCGTCCGACGCCGACACTGATTACGCCGTTGCTCCTCTCTCCGTCGCGCTTCTACCGTCTCACTCCATGGCCGGCGATCCATCCCGGCCAGGATTTCCTCTCAGGTCCAGGACCCCTGCCCGTCCAAGATCTGCTCCCACGTCCAGGCTGCCTGCTCCTGGACACGCTGCTTGGTCCTGGTATGGTGGGATCTTCTGTCACGATCGTCGTATGGAGTAGACCAATGCGCAGCGTTAGTTGCGAACATACTTCTTTATTAAGTGAAAGCACGAACAAAACAAGAAAACGATAACGTGACAGTCAACGGTCAAACACAAACCAACTCGAACAAGATCCCACAAAACACAAAGGGCAAACAGACAGTTTAAATATGGCTCCCAATCAGAGACAACCAGCCACAGCTGACACTCGTTGCCTCTGATTGGGAGTCACTCTGGCCATAATAGAAACAGCACAACTAGAACTCCCGACATAGAAATACGACACATAGAATGACCACACCCTGGCTCAACATATAGAGTCCCAGAGCCCGGATGTGACACTAAATACATTTTGTCGATCTGACAATCATTTCTAATTATCATTTCTCAATTCAAAAGTGTTTGAATAATACAAGCAAATTAAGCAAATCTGTATTAATAATTTCATGTAAAAAAATTAACTATTTCCATTAGGTGTAACTACTGTCCAGAATGGAACTAAATAGATCCAACTACTTTGTGTTTTATTGTAGTTTCTAGTAGAGTACATAGTCTGTCACTAGCTGGCCAAGTCTATCTATACTGCTGGGCTTTTAGAGTACAGAATCTGTCACTTGCTGGCCAAGTCTATCTATACTGCTGGGCTTATAGAGTACAGAATCTGTCACTTGCTGGCCAAGTCTATCTATACTGCTGGGCTTTTAGAGTACAGAATCTGTCACTTGCTGGCCAAGTCTATCTATACTGCTGGGCTTTTAGAGTACAGAATCTGTCACTAGCTGGCCAAGTCTATCTATACTGCTGGGCTTTTAGAGTACAGAATCTGTCACTAGCTGGTCAAGTCTATCTATACTGCTGGGCTTTTAGAGTACAGAATCTGTCACTAGCTGGCCAAGTCTATCTATACTGCTGGGCTTTTAGAGTACAGAATCTGTCACTAGCTGGCCAAGTCTATCTATACTGCTGGGCTTATAGAGTACATAATCTGTCACTAGCTGGCCAAGTCTATCTATACTGCTGGGCTTTTAGAGTACAGAATCTGTCACTTGATGGCCAAGTCTATCTATACTGCTGGGCTTTTAGAGTACAGAATCTGTCACTAGCTGGCCAAGTCTATCTATACTGCTGGGCTTTTAGAGTACAGAATCTGTCACTAGCTGGCCAAGTATATCTATACTGCTGGGCTTTTAGAGTACAGAATCTGTCACTAGCTGGCCAAGTCTATCTATACTGCTGGGCTTTTAGAGTACAGAATCTGTCACTAGCTGGCCAAGTCTATCTATACTGCTGGGCTTATAGAGTACATAATCTGTCACTAGCTGGCCAAGTCTATCTATACTGCTGGACTTTTGTTTTTATTGATGACAGAGACTACTCTCTGTGTGTCTGTATAAACTGTAGGTGAACGTGCCAGTGTGAATAAATGTATGATTGCATTGTCTATGAGCATCTCAGTTTTGTGTGTGTGTGTGTGTGTGTGTTGTGTTTGTGCACCACATTGAATATATTTAATTGACTAATCTGTCATCTGTGTAATCTTTCTTTCTTGTGTGAGTCAGAGGCCTCTATTTTAACAAACCTAAATCAATGGTAATTCTATAGGTTCGGGGTTGTGTCAGAAATATTTTTGCCATTTTCACAACCCAAATTATCGCAGCTTTGGTAATTAAGATGTATTTCCAAGCAATCTCAGCAGCCAAACCCTTTATCGACGGTCTTGACCAGCCTACTTAATTACATTGTGCAGAACCAGAAGAAAACGTCCGTCATTGAGAGGAGGGGAGGCCATGCTTGGTGTTTAATCAAATAACATGAAATAGGGAAAAAACATTAGTGTTTATGTTTCTAAATACAAAGCATACAGGAACCAAATTCCATCTTGTTCCCTGTTTATATGGGCAGTGTGCGTCATGGCTGGATAGGAGGCGTTTCCGCTGTCAAAATTCATGCCATAACCAACTACCGCTAAAACCGGCTTTTGGTTGGTCTTAAATATCCCTACCCGCGCTGCCTGTTCGACAGGTAAATTGCCGAACCTGGCGTTAGGGCTGGAAAATGCCGGTGCGCCGGTTTTTACATGACGAAATTGCAAACTAATATGCGTTTGACACCAGCGCCGCCTTAAATAGAGCCCAGAAGGTTAATTATTCATTCATTTTCAGCATGAAACCGTTTCTTGTATCTCTCTATAGCATCAGCAAGGGTGGCAGGTAGCTTACTGATTAACCGAAAGGTCGCTGGTTCTAATCCCCGAGCCGACTAGGTGAAAAGTCTGTCGATGTGCCCTTGAGCAAGGCACTTAACCCTAATTGCTACTATAAGTCGCTCTGGATAAGAGCGTCTGCTAAATTACTAAAATGTAAAATGTAAATCAGTCCAGCGGTAATAGAGGAACAATAACAAACCCCTGCATCTTTCATTAAAATACAAGATCACCTGATCTGGCTGAGACCCACCGTGACACGAGCCTGAGACACACTGTGACACACACCACACTGTAATTTGTCCTTCCTGGAAAGACTCACTGGTCCGCTCAGTAAACGGCAAGTAAAGGTCACTGAACACCAGATGCCACAGGTCTCCCTCAGCCAGTCTCATGCTATGTAACCAGCCAGGCGGGTCGGTAGGGACAGGCTGGTGAGGAGGGACAGGCTGGTGGGGAGGGACAGGCTGGTTGGAGGGACAGGCTGGTGGGGAGGGGATGGTGGGAGGGACAGGCTGGTTGGGAGGGACAGGCTGGTGGGGAGGGACAGGCTGGTGGGGAGGGGCTGGTGGGAGGGACAGGCTGTTTGGGGGGACAGGCTGGTGGGGAGGGGCTGGTGGGAGGGACAGGCTGGTTGGGAGGGACAGGCTGGTTGGGAGGGACAGGCTGGTGGGGAGGGGCTGGTCGGAGGGACAGGCTGGTTGGGAGGGACAGGCTGGTTGGGAGGGACAGGCTGGTTGGGAGGGACAGGCTGGTGGGGAGGGGCTGGTAGGAGGGACAGGCTGTTTGGAGGGACAGGCTGGTGGGGAGGGGCTGGTGGAAGGGACAGGCTGGTTGGGAGGGACAGGCTGGTGGGGAGGTGCTGGTGGGAGGGACAGGCTGGTTGGGAGGGACAGGCTGGTTGGGAGGGACGGGCAGGTCGGTCGGCAGGGACAGGCTGGTGGGCAGGGACAGGTACTCAGTCTCTCTGGCCTCACACAGGGTCATCAGGGAGTTCAGGTAAGTAGGTAGGGGTGTGCATGCCAATAGAATGTGTGCACATTCCTACATTGGCTCATCGCGCTCTAGCGTCTCCTTGTGGCAGGGCAGTGCACCTGCAAGCTGACTGTGGTTGTCAGGCGAACAGTGTTTCCTCCGACACATTGGTGCGGCTGACTTAAGCGAGCAGTGTGATAAGGAAGTAGACCTTGACTCGACCTTCACCTCTCCCGAGCCCATTGGGGAGTTGCAGCGATGAGCCAAGGTCGTAATTTGGGGAGAAAATGGGGTAAAAGCAATAACCTCGTGGTCGAGACTCAATCAAGCTAGTCGTCTTGACTTCTTTCTTTAACAAAAGTGTTGATAGGGGACAGAATGCGGTCGGACCATCATATAATTGGCATATACATTACTCTTACTGAATTTCCACGTGGGCGAGGAAACTGGAAATGTAATCAAAGCCTATTGGATGATAACTTGTTTTTAACTAGGACAGAGGAACATAACATAGGTACAGCAAATCCACTTATTGTATGGGACACCTTTAAATGTGCCTTTAGAGGCAATGCAATTCAGTACTCAGCTCGAAAACAAAAGCAATTTAGGTCAAAAGAGTCCATACTAACAAAGGACATAGATGGTCTAACAGAACAGATAGATGGCAATGAAAACTGTAACATAGAGGCTCAGAATAAATTAGAGGGAAAAAAAAAAAGAATTGGAGAAACTTATTCAAGAAAGATCAAGTGTAATATATTATAAAAAATAAAGCAAACTGGATGGAATATGGGGAAAAATGCATCAGATTATTTTTTTATCTTCAGCATAGGAATGCTACCAATAATACTTTACTTAAACCACCAAATTATATTTTGAAGGAGGAAACAAAGTACTTTAAGCATATGTTTTTATTTCAGTCACCATTATCAGTCGCCTCCATCTCCTCTAACTGAAGCTAATTGTAGAGATTTTTTTCTATTGATAATGTAAAATTAACAGCCATACATAAAGACTTATGTGAAGGTGAAATTACAGAGGAGGAACTTCTGGATGCAATTAAAGACTTTAAGTCCGGGAAAACTCCAGGGTTGGATGGTATACCAGTCGAGGTATACCAAACCTTTTTTGATATACTCAGAGGACCGTTATTAGCATGTTTTAACCGCTCCAATGTAAATGGTAGATTATCAGACACTCAAGAAGAAGGTCTGATTTCATTATTACTGAAACAGGATACAAGTGGAAAATATAAAAATTGGAGGCCCCTTACACTTCAGTGTTGTGATGCAAAAATTCTAGCCAAATGTATAGCTCATAGAATTAAAAAGGTATTGTCGAACATTATTCATTCTAATCAGACAGGTTTTTTACATGGAAGATACATTGGAGATGTATTGGAGAACACTATGAAAAATCTGGGAAACCTGGCCTGCTATTCATAGCAGACTTCAAAAAGGCATTTGATAAAGTACGACTGGGGTTTATATATAAATGCCTGGAGCTTTTCAATTTTGGAGAATCTCTTATAAAATGGGTTAAAATCATGTATAGTAACCCTAGGTGTAAAATAGTAAATAATGGCTATTTCTCAGAAAGTTTTAAACTGTCAAGAGGAGTGAAACAAGGTTGTCCACTATTGGCATATCTATTTATTATGGCCATTGAGATGTTAGCTATTCAAATTAGATCCAACAATAATATCAAAGGATTAGAAATCCAGGGCTTAAAAACAAAAGTGTCATTATACGTTGATGATGAATGTTTTCGTTTAAATCCACAACTTGAATCCCTCCACAGCCTCAGAGGATCTAAATACATTTTCTAACCTCTCTGGATTACACTATATTACGTATTGGATCACTAAAAAATAAAAATTGTACATTACCATGTAGTTTACCAATAAAATGGTCTGATGGTGATGTGGATATACTCGGAATACATATCCCAAATGAAATAAATGATCTCACTCCAATACATTTTAATAGAAAGTTAGCAAAAATAGATAAGATCTTGCTACCATGGAAAGGTAAATACCTGTCAATTTGTGGAAAAATCACCTTGATTAACTCTTTAGTATTATCCCAGTTTACCTATTTGCTTATGGTGTTGCCTACGCCTAGCGAACAGTTTTTTAAATTATATGAGAAAAAAATGGAACGGCAAGCCACACAAAATTAAACGGGCCTATTTATATAATTAATATGAATTCGGAGGACAGAAATTATTCAATATTAAAGCATTGGACCTATCACTAAAATTATACTTAAATTCGAACTGGTTCTCTAGCAAACTAGTAAGATTGTCTCACCCAATGTTCAAGAATGGCCTTTTTCCCTTTATTCAGATTACAACCTCACACTTTCAGTTATTTGAAAAGGAAATAATCTCCCAAATATCACTATTTCTAAAACAAGCCATAGAAAGGTGGTTGCAATTTCAATTTAATCCTCCAGAAACGACAAAACAAATAATGCAATAAATATTGTGGTTAAACTCAAATATACTAATTGATAAAAATGTTTTTAAAAAAGGTATTTTTTTACAAAATGTTTAAAAAAGGTATAATCTTCGTAAATGATACAATCAGTAGGACTGGTGGAGTTATGTCGCACCTGCAGCTAACAAAAACATATGGAAATGTCTGCTCTACCCAAAATTACAACCAAATACAGTGGGGGAAAAAAGTATTTAGTCAGCCACCAATTGTGCAAGTTCTCCCACTTAAAAAGATGAGAGAGGCCTGTAATTTGCATCATAGGTAAACGTAAACTATGACAGACAAATTTAGATTTTTTTTCTCCAGAAAATCACATTGTAGGATTTTTAATGAATTTATTTGCAAATTATGGTGGAAAATAAGTATTTGGTCACCTACAAACAAGCAACATTTCTGGCTCTCACAGACCTGTAACTTCTTCTTTAAGAGGCTCCTCTGTCCTCCACTCGTTACCTGTATTAATGGCACCTCTTTGAACTTGTTATCAGTATAAAAGACACCTGTCCACAACCTCAAACAGTCACACTCCAAACTCCACTATGGCCAAGACAAAAGAGCTGTCAAAGGACACCAGAAACAAAATTGTAGACCTGCACCAGGCTGGGAAGACTGAATCTGCAGGCAGGTAGCTTAATGGTTAAGAGCGTTGTGCCAGTAACCGAAAGGTTGCTGGTTCTAATCCCAGAGCCGACTAGGTGAAAAATCTGTCGATGTGCCCTTGAGCAAGGCACTTAACCCTAATTGCTCCTGTAAGTCGCTCTGGATAAGAGCGTCTGCTAAATGACTAAAAATGTAAAAATGTAAATGTAAGAAGCTTGGTTTGAAGAAATCAACTGTGGGAGCAATTATTAGGAAATGGAAGACATACGAGACCACTGATAATCTCCCTCGATCTGGGGATCCACGCAAGATCTCACCCCGTGGGGTCAAAATGATCACAAGAATGGTGAGCAAAAATCCCAGAACCACACGGGGGGACCTAGTGAATGACCTGCAGAGAGCTGGGACCAATGTAACAAAGCCTACCATCAGTAACACACTACGCCGCCAGGGACTCAAATCCTGCAGTGCAAGACGTGTCCCCCTGCTTAAGCCAGAACATGTCCAGGCCCGTCTGAAGTTTGCTAGAGTGCATTTGGATGATCCAGAAGAGGATTGGGAGAATGTCATATGGTCAGATGAAACCAAAATATAACTTTTTGGTAAAAACTCAACTCGTCGTGTTTGGAGGACAAAAAATGCTGAGTTGCATCCAAAGAACACCATACCTACTGTGAAGCATGGGGGTGGAAACATCATGCTTTGGGGCTGTTTTTCTGCAAAGGGACCAGGACGACTGATCCGTGTAAAGGAAAGAATGAATGGGGCCATGTATCGTGAGATTTTGAGTGAAAACCTCCTTCCATCAGCAAGGGCATTGAAGATGAAACGTGGCTGGGTCTTTCAGCATGACAATGTTCCCAAACACACCGCCCGGGCAACGAAGGAGTGGCTTCGTAAGAAGGATTTCAAGGTCCTGGAGTGGCCTAGCCAGTCTCCAGATCTCAACCCCATAGAAAATCTTCGGAGGGAGTTGAAAGTCTGTGTTGCCCAGCGACAGCCTTAAAACATCACTGCTCTAGAGGAGATCTGCATGGAGGAATGGGCCAAAATACCAGCAACAGTGTGTGAAAACCTTGTGAAGACTTACAGAAAACGTTTAACCTGTGTCATTGCCAACAAAGGGTATATAACAAAGTATTGAGAAACTTTTGTTATTGACCAAATACTTATTTTCCACCATAATTTGCAAATAAATTCATAAAAAATCCTACAATGTGATTTTCTGGATTTCTTTTTATCATTTTGTCTGTCATAGTTGACGTGTACCTATGATGAAAATTACAGGCCTCTCTCATATTTTTAAGTGGGAGAACTTGC